TAACAATTAAGTTATAAAGTACAAAATCAGTAAAATTAATGACTTTGAACAATTATTGTTCTAATATTTTATGCCATATTTTACAAAATCCAATATTCAGAACTTCAAATTTATTATGGAAAACTATATAATACAGATATCTATATTTTTCTATCTTTTTGTAAAAGTCAAATTGTTATTCATTGAAATAGTAGATAACTGCTTACATATAATAGGTCTGGTGCACTACAAAGTGCACTTATGAAGTGCACTAGTAGTGCACTACTAGTGCACTTTGTAGTGCACTAGTAGTGCACATCTAGTGCACTCCTAGTGCACTTTGTGTAACCTTTAGTGTGAACTCAACTGTAATCAGCGAAATCACTAAAAAAAGGTAAAATTTCTAGGACATTACAATATATTAGTATAGATCTATATAAATATTAAGAACGCAATTTTATTTTAGGTCTGAAACTGTAATCAAGAGGAAAAAAATGAGGAAAATTATTGGATTTACAAAGACAGCACAACAGAAAATATTTTTCATATCACTTAAAATTGAAACTTATTGACCTGCGCTTAATATGTAATATGAAATTAGGCAAAGCCTATGAACGGGGAAGTCGTTAAAAAATTCCTTTCTTTCTTTCCGTTTTAAAATTGTCATTCGGTATTACATGCACCGCTTCCCTTTTCACTCGGAACACTCGACGTTTATTATTTATCCGAAAAGTTGAGATTTGCTCCGTTATCGGAATACCCCGCCTTTTATCATTGAGTTACATTGTAAATGGTGGCCCCCGACTAGAACTGACACTGAAAAATTCATTGATAGGTATAGAATTCTATATATTTTTTAATTGTTTTTTATTTGATTTTCTTTTAAATATACACATGTAGTCTATAGCCGGGCAAGTCAAAGCCCGGACCTGCGGTTTTTGACTTCCCCGTATTAATATGCTTTATCACACACCAGTGCCGATTTTGCCACTCAGTAAATATGGTATTGAACATCCATGCATATAATTTGACATGACCTCATAAGCGTTATAAAAACATTATGTAAAAATGGCTAAATGGTAGCATTATACTATAGGCGTATAAATGAAAAACTACTCTTATTTCACTTTAAACAGTCTTTATTTTGTGTATGTGATACAGTAGGGTGAACGTTTCAGTTTACACGCAAAACGCACGTTGCAGAAAAAACGCATGCACGTTACATGCTATACGAACACACGTTACACGCATCCTTTATGAACTGAAATACGCAAACGCATGCAAAATGAAATACGCTACACGATATACGCACGCTTAAACGCACGCAAAATAGAAATCGTTTCTAAACGTTAATAAAATATCCTTATCATATAAATTTTTAACAACTTCTAAGCTAGATCGTTTAGTGATTTGATTAACCCTTTCACTGCCATAGGGACGGCTTAAGCCGTCCCTGTTATTTTCGGCGTATTTGCCATATAGACGGCTTTAGCCGTTTCTATAAAAATAATAGTTATAATAATAAATAAATATAATAATAATAATAATAATAAATATAAAGAAAATTATACCATCGACAATAATTATTATTATACTAACAGATTTGGAAACATATATAATTATTATAATACTAATAACAAATGATAATAATTATATTAATTAATAATATAGTAATTTCTTAGAAAATCCTCTGGCAAATAGGTGAACAATAAAACAATAACCCTCTGGCAGGGAAAGGGTTAAATGATAGCTAGCCATTCATGTATTTTAAACGGGTTTATGTTAACTAACTTATCTTATGTCCCCTCATTAGTGAATAGTTCAGAGCTGTAAAAATGAAAAAATCAGTTTTACAGTATCTTTTTTGTGATTCCATATACCATGCCAGTAATGGTCCCCTGACAGGGAAGGGAACACTTCCTTACTCAGATAGTGGATCTGAACACCTCTGTCTGCATTATAGGACATTTGCCATACCTTTTTTTTATTTTTCAATGAAATTTGGTGGATTTTTTCAATATCAATCAAACAGATGTAATTGTTACTCAATATTATAGTGATATGTTGCCTTACTAACTTGGTTTCATTTCCTAGGAGGTTATAATAAGGGAAAATTACCCCCATTTTTAAATATATAATGTATTTGCTTGAACAAATAGGCATCATAGAAAATTTACCTTAGCTCTCTTCATTGTCAATATAATTTAATGTGGTTTTCTTATTTTAGTCAATTAGATGTAGTAGTTACTTGATAGTATAACATTATTTGGCTTTACTTACTTTGTTTCAGTGACCAAAAGGTTATAACAAGGTAAACTTACCCAAATTTTCAATGATTTAGTGTGGTAAAGTTATTAATAAGGCATTATAGAAAATTAGCCATTATTTCTTAATTTGCAATGAAATTTGTTGGGATTTTCTTAATTAAGTCAATTTGATGTAGGTTTAACTTAATATAATAATACTATGTTGCTTATATAACTTTGATTCATTTACCATGAGTTTATAATCAGGTAATATTACTCCCATTTTTAATGAATTAGTGTGTTAGCTTGTATAGTTATACATCATAGGAAATAAGCCATAATTTTTTGAATATTCAATGTAATTTATTGAGATATTCTTATTTTAATCAATTAGATATGCTTGTTAATTAATATAATAGATTTATGTTGCACTTATAATTCTGTTTCATTTCCTAGGCTGATATAATAAGGTAAAAATCCCCATTTTGTAGTGAATTGGTGTTCTATCTTAAGACAGTAAGGTATCTTAGGAAATTTGCAATAACTCTTATATTTTGTAATGAAATTTGGTTGGACTTCCTTACTTTAGTCAATTAGATACGTTTGTTAATTAATATGATAGATTAATGTTCCTCTTGTAGCTTTGTTTAATTTCCAAGGCTCTTTTAATTAGGTAAAATTTTCATATTTTGTTGTTGATTTAGTGCACTATCTTGGACATTTAGGCATCTTAGGAGATTTGCCATAATTCTCATATTTTGTAATGAAATTTGTTAGGACTACCTTATTTTAGTCAATTACATATGTTTGTTAATTAATATAATAGATTTATGTTATATAAAAAATTCTGTATCATTTCCTAAGAGGTTAATTTTAAGGTAAAATTACCCGGTGTATCAACATTTTATGTGGCACTGCTTTCTTTAATAGTTAGGGTCCAGATAGAATTTACTATAACATTTATATTTTTCCTGGACAATTATTGAAATCTTCTTTTTTAAGTCATCTAATGAAAGCTTTTAATTAATAAAGTTGATTTGGATTGAGTTATCAATTACATTACTTTTCATAGGGATCTTGAATTATGCCTTTTTAATGAACTGACCTACCTATGAAGCATAAAATTGATATTGTAGGAAAATTAAAATTACAATCAATTGAAATTGCACAGGTCCCAAAAGATATATTAGTATGCAAAATGGGTTTATGTAAATTTATATAAATACATAGGTGATATTTAAGTATATTATAGTTAGAATTTTATCAGTTATGTCTAGGTTTATAACTTACTTGAGGGAAGTTAAACAAGTGACTTGGGACTACAGCTAGCATACCTATCTTACTCAGCTGAGAAAAATCTTTAAAGAATTATATGGTTATATATGGATAGGTTATATACTTTTAAGTTAGCAAAGGGTGACACAGGCTCATCTCGGGTATCTCAAAGGGGTATTATGTTAAGTAATGATTACGGATTGATAAACCTTAAAAGTTATTTTAGATAATATACAGAATAAAAATCAAGAAAGCTATATATGTTTATCAAAGTGGGTTATATTATTGACCAGCCTGGGCATCTGTTCGCTATCAGTGTTATACGGTTTGTAAGTGACCAGTAAAAGCCCAGGCCACATACAAAAATAGTAGTCTATGGCTTGATTATGAGCTGACAGATAGGGGAATTTTGTAAAGGGTGGCTTAGCCTGTCTGTTGTGATTACATGTCTAAAAAGTTCAACATGCTATATTTTAGCCACCATAGAATTTTTTATCTAGAAAAATATCTAGTTATTTTTATTTGTACAAAAATATAGAAATAGTACAATGTACAATGTATAATTAGTAAAATGTTTACTATACATGTACACATAATGTAACTATTAACAAATGTCGGTACAGCTGCGGTACAGTATTTAGACGGTCACGGGTTCGAGTACATGTCAGGATGCACTTTTTTCTCACCCTGTGACTGACAAACATTTGTATAGCCCAGCTAGAAATTAATTCACAATGCTAAGTAAGCCTGGGAAATTCGAAGAAATATTTGCATACACAGTAGGTTTATAACTATTCAGTATTTAAACAAGTAAAACGTGTAAGCGGCCGAATAGCTCAGAGGAAATCAAGAGCCGCGGAATCGTATTCCGAGTGTCAGGGGTTCGAGTGCCTGCCAGGCTGTTACATATCAATATAAATCCGTCAAGAAAAATAGGCAGGAACTGTCTAAAATAATTATCACCTAAATAGTATTCAGATAGGATTCGGACAGTCTTTGATGAAAAGTCAGAAGATGAACTTGTAAAGGGGGTGGGGTGCTAGTCTGATCACCGTAAATATCACAATAATACTTCTTTATATAATATTTCTATTCTTTGACAGGGGCACAGAACATCTCTTACATGTTTAAGAAACAACAAATTTACATAATATATCTATCTAAGAAATTCTTTTACTTCTCAATAGTAACAGACGCAAAACACGGTACTTAAGCGCTTAGACGAACGCAGACGCACGCTAAACGTTTCTGGGAATAAGAAACGCACGCTTTCAGACGCACGATAAACGAAAAACGATACACGGAAAACGATAAACGTTAAACGCTTGTAAACGATGCACGCTTGAGAAAGCGTTTCAGCAAACGCACGTTGCACGCTATACGCACGCACGTTACACGAAAAACGGACGCACGAAAAACGCTATTTTTGACAACCGAAACGTTCACCCTACTGTATAATAGTGTAAAATGATAACCTATTATTGACTTTAACTTGTACAGTTTGTAAACTTTCAACAGAAAACAGTACATTTTCACAAGGAAACAGAAGGTCTATCAAGTAAATCTTCATCGGAAGAAAGAGAACAACTTTTGAAACCTACAGAAGAAAAAGAAACACCTTTGAAACCTACAGAAGAAAGACTTCAACCTTTGAAACATACAGAAGAAAGAGAACAACCTTTGACACATACAGAAGAAAGAGAACAACTTTTGAAACCTACAGAAGAAAGAGAACAACCTCCGTCACATACAGAAGAAAGACAACAACCATCGACACATACAGAAGAAAGAGAACAACCTTTGACACATACAGAAGAAAGAGAACAACCTCCGACACATACAGAAGAAAGAGAACAACTTTTTAAACCTACACAAGAAAGTGAACAATCTTTGACACGCACAGAAGAAAATGAAAAGCTATTACCAAAACATTCGGTAGAAAGTGGGCTAGCCTTAAAACCTACCAATGAAAGTGAAAAAAGTAAAGTTTTAAAAGCTACAAAAATATGGTGGGGAAGTGGAAAACTCTCTAATTCTGCAAAAAGCGATTTAGAAAGAGAAACGTGTAAAGTGGACATTCATGGATATGAAAAAGAAATTAATCAAGATGAAGATTCGCCAACACGTGAAAAATGTGTAGTGGAAATTCATGGGGATAAATATGAAAAAGAAATTAATCGAGATAAAGATTCACCAACAAGTGAAAAATATGTAGTGGAAATTCATGGGGATAAATATGAAAAAGAAATAAATCAAGATGAAAATTCGTCAACAAGTGAAAGATGTGTAGTGGAAATTCATGGGGATAAATATGAAAAAGAAATTAATCAAGATGAACATTCGCCCAGAAGTGAAAAAAGCGTAGCGGACATTCATGGGGATAAACATGAAGAAGAAGACAATCAAGGTGAAGGTTCGCCCAGAAGTGAAAAAAGTGTAGAGGACATTCCTGGAGATAAATATGAGGAAGAAGATATTCATATTGAAGATTCGCCAACAAGTGAAAAAAGTGTTGCGAACATCCCTGGGGATAAACATGAAGAAGACGATAATCAAGTTGAAGATTCACCAACAAGTGAAAACAGTGTAGCGAACATTCATGGGGCTAAACATGAAGAGAAAGATAATAAAGGTAAAGATTCGCCAACAAGTGAAAAAAGTGTAGCGAACATTCCTGGGGATAAATATGAAGAAAAAGATAATCAAGGTGAACATCCGCCAACAAGTGATAAAAATGAAGCGGACATTTCTGGTGAAAAATATGAAGAAGAAGATACTCAAGATGAAGATTCGTCTACAAGTTCTTTGAAACTTGATGAAGACGATGACGAAGAGGAATATTTTTCGGCTACTGATGATAAATGATAATAATTATGATGCTGTTATATTTGTATATTGATTAGGATAAGTTATTAAAACGTTTTATATGGTTTATTTTCAAATCAGTATGTTTGCATGTGTTCAGTTATTTGTATAGGCATTTTATTAAATAGATTATTAGATAATTATATTACGATTTTGTTTTTTTGCCATGAAAACGTAATTTTCAAACAAAATGCTATCATTTCTGTTTCTCGGAAGCTTTCTATTTTTGACGTTCTGAGACATTGCCTTGTGGACCTCTACAGAGCTGATAATAATAACGCAAATTGGATCAATATTTGGCTTCCCTGAAGGTCATTTAGCTAATTATTAAAATTTTATATTACTACGCGTTTGTAACTCGCACCTGACGTTTATGTTATTTATATACACAGCTGCTGCCTATATATGAAGTAATTTATCTCTAAAAATGAAAGTTTGCAGTATTGAAAATTCGTTAAAAAGACATTTGACAGGTTTTATGACCCTATATAAACGATTATTTGCAGAATAACCGGGTTTTTGCCCTTGAATTAATATTGAATTTAACTTATACTCGTATAGACTTTTATAATCATTGGATAATCGTGACGTTTATAATATTTGTTTTAAATACACGACTGCTGTCAATTTATAAAGAAATCTTACTTTTTCTCTAATAAAGAAGTTTGCAGTATTATAAATTCGTTATAAATATTCCTGATAGGTTTAATGGCCGTATATAAACCGCTGTTTGCAATATAACCCTCACCTAATGGTTCGAGTATATTTACAAACAACGGTTAATGTAGGGCCATATAGCCTGCCAAAAATCTTTATAACTAATAATATAATAAAACACATTTAAGTCTCCTGTGTAAAACTATTCTAAACGCTTAAGATATTTGGCTTGAATTATTTTCTTTAATTTATATGGGTATTTTTTAAAGTTTGTCCGGATTACTACTCTTATACCATTGATGCAATTTCAAAGAAACTTTATAGGATTGATTGGTAGTCAAATTATTGCACATATTACACAGGATTTCCGCTCGAATGACTTTTGGTCCAGTTATAGCCTTTAATGAAAAAGATATTAATAAAGTTTGTCCAGACTACTCCTCTTATATCAATAATGCGATTTCAATGAAACTTTACAGGATTGATTGGTAGGTCAAATACTTGAAGTTGTGCATGATGCACAGGTCTTTAGGTTCATGATTTTTGGCTGAGTTATTGCCCTTGAATAAAAATATGTGTTTTTGTGTTGCCAGCTATACACAGAAGTTTGTCTGGACTACTCCTCAGAAACTACTGGTGCAATGTCTAGCTGGGCATCTCATCAACATTTTTCGGTTCATTGATTTTTTTACCCTTTCCATGATTTTAATCTTGAAATTTGTCTGGACTTCTCCTATTATACCACTAATGCAATTTCAATGAAACTTTACAGGATTGATCGATAGCTCAAATTATTTTGCATATTACCAAAACAGGTCTTTCGGTTGAATGATTTTTGCCGAGTTATGGCTATCATGAGGCGACACATGTCACCACTGATGGTCCTTTTGCATATTTTGACCTCTTTTTCGTAATTTACGTAAATTACTTGTTTCTCCACCCGTCGATGTTTTACTTTAAAATACATTTTAAAATTTTCATGAAAATAAGAGCCTAAAGGAATGCTGCTTTAATAAATTATATAAACTTTTTGTTCCGAAAATCAAGCAAATATATTATTCAAGAGTTTCTTTCTATACAGTATATCGGAGGTTTAGTTTTACATATTTTATCGTTTTGCTATCAATGACAAAACTTAGAATGTGTTCAAGTTTTATTTGTATTTATTCAAAACGGATAGTTATAAGTTATACTTAAGAAATAATATATCCCATACTGTGATTTTATCGCTCAATAACATCACTGTTTGGAGTTCGGATGCGAGGAATTATATCACGAGGGCGTAACCCCAGTGATATAATGATGCGCATCCGAACGACAAACAGTGATGTTATCCAGCGATACAATCACCGACTTGGATATATTATTTCGATTCTAACACGACATAAACAAATAAATGCTGCTGTACCTGCTATTAAGCAAAATTTCGCCTGATTTGTCTCCGTATTTTTTGTCAGCGCGTCAGATTTATATAGAGGTTACGTCTCATGTATTATGATTACGTCACATGTCTAAATATAGAACGTCAAACAGTGACTCTATTGCATATTCTAACACGACCCGCATTTTTCCCTATTGAACATAAAAGAACAGAAAGTGTGTGTTATTATGCAACAGATGCACAGTTTGACGTTCTTTTTTTAGACATGTGACGTAATCATTATACACGTGACGTAACAACGCCCTCGTGATATAATTCCTCGCATCCGAACTCCAAACAGTGATGTTATTGAGCGATAAAATCACTGTTTGGGATATATTATTTCTTAAATAACACACACTTTCGGTTCTTCTATGTTCAATAGGGAAAAATGCGGGTCGTGTTAGAATAAGAAATACCATTTGAACAATGAAGGCAACCGATGTTATGTTACCTAAATTTAGATGTAATATACCACCAACATTAAACTCTCATTATCATTAATCTCGTTGTATTTGCGTATTTGCCAACTAGCCGGTATTTAACATGATACATTTTGCCTTTAGCAATACTTATTAAAAGATACCATGATGAACAGTTTAGCTGTGGTGGCAAGAACATGTACGTATGTAAGAAGAGCATGTGATACGTTCATATGCTTAATACACAATTGAGTTGAATAAGTACCATTTTAGCCCGTCATTTCGAAGTATTATGATCGCTGACCATTACTAAAACAATTTTAAAGATATCATTATCAAACTTGGAATATTTACTTGTCCTGACAGTGACAAGTAAGACAAGGGCCATTATTCTGAAAGCTATATATTGGGAGTGTTGTCCTTTTTAAACTCAAAATTTCCTACTAAGTACTAATTAAGCTGCTCGATCGTGAAACCCGAACATGCATGTATAAAGTCGTGACTGGCGAGGAAACGTGTGCCAGAGTTAAAGGGGGAAAAAGCAATGTGTGGATCGGTGAAATTGATGAAGGAACCAAATTGCTTGTAAAATATCTGGTAATGGTCATACAACAAAACACGTCATGCATGCACTATTTTTTGTTGCAATGCTAAAGTTCTTTACAATAAGTGGAGTCCTTAAAATTGGTTCTTTCGGCAGATGTTGAGCTGATAATGGACATAGAAGAATTCTTTTGGTCATCTGGCGGCATGCAGCTTAAAAGCAGCACGCCTCCAGATTCATTCTAATTTTTATGAAAATTTTGAAAATGTAATTAAAAGCAGCACGTTTCCAGATTAATGCTTATTTTCATGGAAATTTTGAAAATTAAACAAAATGTATAATATTGTGAAGTAACCAAAAAGAATCAATTTACACATTACCAATGGCACTTACTACCCAAGTTAATTACAAAAACAGGTCAAAATATGCAAAGTATGCCCTTACTATGTTAGTAACACAGTAGAAATATAGTTACACATAATGAAAAATTCACCGTTAACAGCTCATAACATGTCAATTTTTACTTGAATATTGAATACTTCTATTTTTCCTAAAATTTCAGTAAATTTTTCACAAGTTTGATTTATTGAAAAGTTTCACTCATCTAGAGGCATGCTGCTTTAAAGTAAAATATTGTGAAGTGAACCAAGAAAGAAATTGACACGATGCAATCGGCACTTATAATCTAAGTAAATTACCAAAAACTGGTCAAAATTTGCAAATGCTGTTGCAAATGCAGTAGAAATATGGTTATAAATATTGTAAAAATCGGTCAATAATTGCATATATGATATAAATAATCTCTTGAATGTTTAATCTGTTTACCTTTCTTAAAATCTTTCTTAAGAACATTTTTCAGAAGTTTAATTTTCTTAAAATATTTTGGCTCATCTGTAGGCATGCAGCTTTAATATTTAAATTTATTAGTAATAAAAAGAAATTTATCTTACAGTTTCATGACTTCGGACATTAGATTGGAAAATATTCATATATCTCGGTACTGTGGGAAAAACTAGGAATTCCCAGGAAATTCTGGATGGAAAATACTGTTCAATTTATAATATTTTCATATAAACAATCAAAACTTTGTGACTACTGGCTAAATATACGGGTATACCTGTAAGTGTTTACATTGTACAATAGCTTTCACACCCTGAAAAAGGCCCTTTATCCTGTATATATAGTACTAAATGGTATTATTTTGTGCATAAACTGCTTAATCCTAATTTTCACTCGGTTGATTTGTGATCACAGTTGGCGAATGTAAGTTTATAAAGTGACTTACGTAGAAATGAATGAATTAGAGACCCTGTATAGAATTTTAATCACTGTTGTTGAAGTGGGTTTTATTAAAATTGAGACATGCGAATTAAGGCACTTGTGCAGGAAGAAGTACTTGTCTAGGAAAATAAAATGCTCTTGCGAAACAGAGGTTCTGGTATCAATCTAGTTCAAAACACATTCAACAGTAGTGTATGGAAAAAATAGAAAAATAAAGAATCTGACCTAGTACATCCGGGTTACACTTCAATCTACGACAATAATGACCCCCATAAGGGGCGTAGCTAGTTCAAAATTGATATAACGCACACTCACGCGGGGGGGGGGGGGGGTTAAGGGGACAGGGACCGCTATAGGCCCTCCTTCAAGGTCCAGGTAGGTGTGCGAAATACCCGGAAGCTCCTCGATTTTCACCATTCATAGTTGAATAATGTATGCATTTCTGTGTCAAATTGTGGTCAATAAAATGATAAATTTATGTTAGTAGGATAAATAATTGTATATGCAATAGTATGACATTTGTACTGTATAGTAACGTGATTTAGAGATTTTCTTAAATATAATTGCTACATTGAATAACAATATTTCAAGGTCTTTGGTCAACGTTATACTAGTATAAGGATATACATTGCATAAACAGACACACAAATGACGCTTTCACTTACACAGCCAATAA